ACTAGGTATCTTAGTATAACCTGAAATTAGAGATGGCGATCTCTCCAGTGGTTTTGTTGTTGTTGTTGTTTTGTTTGTTTGCTCAGGATTGTTTTATCTATCCTGGGTCTTTTTTGTTTCCATATGAATTTTCGGATGTTTTTCCAATTTATGAGAAGAATTGCATTGGAATTTTATTCAGCTGTAAAGAAAAATGAAGTTATAACATTTTCAGGTAATTGGATGGAGCTGGAAACAATCATTCTGAATGAGGTATTTCAGACCCAGGAAGACAAACATGGCATGTTCTGTCCCATACGTGAATGCTACAGTAAAAACTATGGATATGTGTGTTTACACTGAAGTATCGATAAAAGCCAGGGGACTAGTAAGGGACTATGGTGGGGAAGGATGACAGATTTTGAGAGAAAGAGGATAGTATGCATCTAGTATGCAGGGGAAAGGAGAATAATAGGACAGGAAGGGTTTACATGGGATATATGGTGGGAAGGCAAAAGAGAGGAAGGACTATGGGGAGAGATAACCAACACAAAAGACTTTTTAAAATGCCATATGGAAATCTACTTCTATAGAAGCTCTGTAAAATATTTATATATACATCTATAAAAGGAAATTAAATTGGAGTTACCCTATAGTGGGAGAACAATGCCTCTCTCAGATACCACAGGCTATAAAAGTCCCAGTGCCAGGTATCTATTATCTCATATCAAGTCGTCAGTCAGTGGGATCCCATAGATACCACCCCCCAAATATTACAGGATATTCACATTGCTTGTGGTCAACTTCCCTAGAACTGGATGGTAAAACCCAAATGCTAAAGACAACACATAACTCAGTCATAGGACATGGAGGAATCAAGGTAATATCAACCTAGAGGCTCCATCCCTACTGACTAGCATTCACATGTAGTCTATTATAAGCGAAAAGCATTCAACAATTTTTACCCAGCTGTCAACCCTATAAGCTATAATAATAAGTTACCAGTCATGACATGCTCATTGATGTAATAATGGCATGAATGTTATAGAAGTAACCAACCACTTTCTGATTACATTTCAACTCCACTCCATAAGGTAGAGCTTATACCTGAAATAGTTAACTGAGACAACCATCCATGATCATCTAGGTCATAGGCTCTAGGGGAGACTCCAATACTATCATTTAGCAAAATGAACATAGTATTAAATTGTGCCCTAAATTCTTAATCTTATATCCAGAGATTAGTGCATTTCTCAACCCTCATCATAGAAGTTTCTTTTTGCAACAGATAGTGACTAACACAAAGACCCATAACTGGTCAATGTGCTGATAATAATAAATGTAGGACACTCAGCTCTAAATGATATGTCTACATCATATCCACTTCCCTCAAGGTATTATTGTGGAAGAGGAGATAGAAAGATTGCAATAGCCAGAGGTAGTAGGCATATGCAGTGAAATATTATTTTCTGGACAAGAAAGAGCTGTGTCACACATCAAGCCAGATGAAATTCTAGCATGGACTGGGGTGGGGGGGGGTAGATCATGAAGTCCCACCCATAACTGAGAAGCTATTGACAATCAGTGGCTACTGGAGAAGGAGAGCGAGTTTTCCTCAGGGATGCAGCCACTGATAGGCTAGTTATGCTTCAGTAAATGGTTCTATGTCCATGCACAGAAAGGCAGCACAAAGCAGACACAGTGGATTAAAAAAAGGGAGGATGCATGATGGCATGATGTTGGGAGATAAAAGTTGTAGGATATATAGGAAGGGATCGGAGAAAACAGAGAGACGAGATGGTAGATTTGATCAAAACAGAGAGACAAGATGGTAGATTTGATCAAAACAGAGAGACAAGATGGTAGATTTGATCAAAACATATCAAATGCATGCATGAAGTTCTCCAAAAAGAGAGAGAGAGAATAACCATGTTCAAATATGTGCTTTAACATAAACAAATATATGTATTTATAAAAAATGGCTTATTCCAGACAGTTATTCATGCAGCAAGTATTTGCAGAGTGGTTATTTATAGGTGAGAGGTACTTTCTCTGAATGTGAAGGTGTAGCGGTTACAATGGCAAGTAAAGCCCTATGAACATCACAGTGGTAGGTATTTATAAGCCTGTTCTTCAAGAAGAAAAGCATTCATTCATTGAATTCACTGATCACCATAGTTTAAATACTCCCACTATGGCCAACTTCAAGCTACTGACTGAATAGCTGAGAAATTATGCATAAATCAGAAGCAGTGGGGATCTGATGACATGACACAGCCAGTAACGTGTTTATCTGTGCAAGCCTTAGGACTCCTTTAGCACATTTGTAAAAGGCAGGCATGGCAGCAAGTACCTGTAATCCCAGAAATTGGGAGGTAGAGAAAGTTGGATCCCTGGGGCTCACTGCCCAGAGAGTCCAGTTGAATTGACAAGTTCTAGAGTCAGTGAAAGACTCTGTCTCAAATAAGAAGGTAGAAAGCGAGAGGAAGACTCCTGGAGTAACCTCTGGACCTCCAGACATGTGTATACACACACACACACACACACACACACACACACACACACACACGCATGCACACACATACACACACATGCACGCACGCACGCACGCACGCATGCACACAAGCAGATCAAACAAACCTCTGAAACATAGGTATAATAAGTCTCTCTCAAATAACAGGGGGATTTAATCATGTATACATTTTGAGAATATATTCTTCTCATAAAACTCTTATAAATATGCCATAAGGAGTCCTAAAGTCAAAGCCAATTTAAAACTTGTAGTGTTCTTTGGGGGGGAATTCAGAAGCAGAACCAATTTCCTGGCTGGATTAACTTAAAATTGGGTAACCAGCTCCTGAAATGTGGGAAAGTGGTGTATTAACTGAGAAAGTCTTAAATGTGAGGATCTCAAAATCACCATCACCTGAAATTGAGAATGTTAACAGTATTTAGAGAGGTCACCTGCTCTCAAGTGCAGGCTACAGTTGCTTTAGGTGACATTGCATGCTAGTCACTGCTACTGTTCAGCCATTATTTACATACCTCAGATATTTAAGGCAATGGTCAACGTTCACCTCATTGTGTGAATTATGTAAATCCTTTCTTCCCTTCTCCTGAATTCTTGTCATTCATCTATATGAGACAGATTGAGAGGGAGAAAAACCCTAAATATCAAATTAACCTGATATCTGAAGTGATAATAACTTGACAAAAACAGTAATTTAGAAAGACTTTAGAAATATTGATTAAAATATTATGACTGGGTCAACAATTCCTTCTTTTTAGGCCAACACAGATAACTGAAAATTTATGATAAATCATATATACTTTCACAACAAACAAAACTTTGGAGACACTCACACATTGATCTCTTGCTTATTGGTACAAACTGAGTTTCAGAAGAGCAAACTCAGAAAACATCTAGCAATGATTTCATATTGCAAGTATCGAATATAAATCATTCTGAAAAGCCATGCTCTAATAAATAATGTTTTCTTCTGAAATTTTAGTAAAATTTTAAATTGCAAATTTTGTATATTAGGGCCCCAGCGGAGAAGCTGAGGTGAGTGCGGGGGGGGGGGGGGAATTTTGTATATTAGGTGAAAGCTATATTTAATGAATGCTACATTTTATATAGGAGTAGCTCCCACCTGTCACAAGTTTTTTTCCTTCCATGGTTTCGTTACATGAATTCAACCATGATTAGAAAATATTGAGTGGGAAATTACAGGAATAAGCAGCTCAGGGGAATTTAAAAACATTTATTTTATTTTTTTATGTGTGAGTGGTTTGCCTGCATGCATGTAAGTGAATTATACTGGTGCCTGGTACCCATGGAGACCAGAAGCAGGTGCCAAACCCCTCAGAACTAGAGTTATAGATTGGTTGTAAGCTATCATGTGGGTCCTGAGAACTGAATCCTGGTCCTCTGAAAAAGCATCAAATGCTCTTGGCTCTGAGCCATTTCTCTAATCCCCAACACATGGTTTTACACTGAGTGGTAGACTAAGTAACATGATAAAATCTGCATAGTACTGCTATGGCCCCCAGACATGGACATATCCTTTTGCCTGGGGTTTCAATGCTGGGTGCCCATCAGTCTCTTGATAGTTCTCAGTTATCAGAATGACAGTCATAGGCTCATGTTCAAGGAAACCTTAATTCACTTAATAATGGCCACAAAAGACAGAAAAGTAGCAATGCTCTCTGTCAGCCAAAGAGAGGCCATGAAGTTCTTCTTTTATTGGAAAATTCAAAGTACAATAAGGTGGTTTTTTTTTTGTTTTTTTGTTTTGTTTTGTTTTGTTTTTTTTCCGAGACAGGGTTTCTCTGTGTAGCTTTGTGCCTTTCCTGGGACTCACTTGGTAGTCCAGGCTGGCCTCGAACTCACAGAGATCCACCTGGTTCTGCCTCCCGAGTGCTGGGATTAAAGGCGTGTGCCACCACTGCCCGGCTAATAAGGTGTTTTGATGGAAAGAGGGAGCACATTTGATAATTTTTAGTGTAGTATATTGCTGAAATTATTTCATTTTAGAACAAGTTACTATTGTTTATCTCTTACTGCACCCAATTTATAAATTTCATTTTAACATTTGTATGAATGTTCAGGGAAACCATATACATATGGGGTTCAAAACTGTTCACAGTTTTGACAACTAATGAGGGTTTTGAAACATATTCTTAATACATAGGGAGGGACTACTGTATACCACACATTCACTTTTTATATATTGGTATGTATTTTTAATATATATGTTTATGACTATGCATATCCATACCTAAATTTTACAATGGGATTTAGACTATTATAGAACATGTAGCCATAATATATTTACTTATGCTTATAAAATATTTCTAGAAATTCCAAATAAGAATGGTTTTGTCATGTTCTCACTATCTTTAGAAAACTTTATTAAATAATTGGAAATGGTTAAGCATTGTATTCCGGAAAGTAATATTTTTTTAGGAGTAATCTAGGTAAAAATTAAAGCTTGATGTTATATCAGATAATATTTGGATTAAATTCAGTATCCTTTTAATGAGAACATGTAACAACAACAACGGAACAAAACAACAAACAGGAAGGCAAAGGCCTCACAGTTAAAAAAAAAGACACCTGCATGTCACAAGATTTGTCTGAGAGTGCAGAGTTTCAAAATATTCAGATAACTTTCTGAGAGGAGCATAGACCATAAAAGAAATATCTGCCGTATGAAGAGAAAGGTTAATATAATGATTGAAAAATATTTATTTTCATGACAGAAAAAGCACAGATATTTGACTTAATCACCACTGATGAGTTTGCTTTGGAGAATTCAGTTGCTGACTCTATTTACACAGTTTTTGTAAACTTAGGGAACAGAGTCATAACCTAGAATATAGTCTACCATGACATCTCTCATTTTGATGATGGCAGTCACGTTGTTAAAAATCTTTGGAAAATCTCGACTGTGTCCTTTCTACACTGGGTATTTTTGAGCACACAACAGATCAATTTGGGTGACATATTGCTCCTAAGCTTTCTGACCATTAGTTTTTCTTATGAACAAGAAGTTTGTTATCCATCTTTCCTCTGGTTGCTAGGATAAAATGTCTCTTTCAGGTTGCCAGTACTAAGAACAACAACAGCTGGTGTATCTAATTTGCATTTAAATGACATTTACAACAGTGTCCTTCAAATCCCAGGATGCTCCTGATATATTCTCTGTGCACATATGCAGTGGTTGCTGCATGATGGATATGACATCCACAGCACATCGAAGCACACTGCTTGAGGGACCACTCACTCTGTGAAGAGCTGCAAATGTAGCTGCTACCCCTCCAGAGTCTTCTCAGGTCTAAGGTCTAAATGCTATGCAAGTCCATCCCCTTCAAATAATTCAAACTCTTCAAGGCCTCATTCCAGCAAGCACTGAATTACTCGACTGAATAAAAACATCTACCAGAAATCTTCGGTGCCTGGTCAAGACATGAAGCATGTAAGTCAAAATGTTGCTTTGTAAAATCATTTGAGCCCAGGCCATTTCATGAGGGTTGTACCAGCTTGCTAGCACTATTAGACATAGGGAAGCTGATGGTTTGTACCTAATCTTGACAAGGTCCCCAAAGGTCTCTCTTTTTGATGCTGGTCAGACACCAAGAATATTTCTACCCGACAAGAGGGGTATGAGAATTACATATAAAACTTTATTTGTACCCATGCAACCTTAAACACATGGAGTAATCAGAGTTCAATTGATCATCAGCGTCTAAGGACCATGCTTCTTGCAGAATTCACTGGAAAGAAATGGATTTTTTTCAGTGACAGCCCCAAGGTTTTTCTGCCTGAGTCTCTCTATGTGGGGAGACTGAAGGTGCAAAAGGCTTTGAAGGAACACAGTGGGTTCCAACAAATAAAAATGCCCTCTCTGGTGGGATCTTGTTCAAGAAGTGTGTCTGCCTTATTTTTCTATTTCAGGAGCCAAGCAGTAGGATTTGCTCTCCCACCTTTAGTCAACAAACCCATGGAAGGGCCTCTGTAAGGCAGAAAAGCTTAGAGAAGGGGAGCCAGGGAGAGGTTCAATTGATTCTCTGGCCAGATTGAGGTCTTTGACTTTTTTGTTTTGTTTTTATTTTGAGACAGACTATCTTGGAACATGGTGCCGCCAAACCTGGCAGAGGATGCTTCGTGTGGCAGAGCTTTGGCTGAAGTACATATTCTGTTTCCGAAGGTGCTGCTATATCACATAATTTCTTGTAAGACTGTAGCTCTGAATATACAACCACATTGGGTCCAGTTACGACTGTTTAGCAATCCATCACTCTTTGTCCACCACATGCTCATGGAGAAGCAGTGTCATTTCTTTTCAATAATCACATTTAATAATAATCACTTCTTCGTGGTTATAAATGATATGCTTAGCAACAAGACTGAAGTTTACAAAAAACAGTCTGATGAGAGGCTGGAGAGACTTGCAACTGTTCCGAGCACTTGCTGCTCTTGGAGGAGGATCGGCTTGCGTGAAACAAATCATCGATAACTGAGCCTCAGACTTCCTCTTTTCTTGGATTCTAATAGAAGACATGCATATAACATGAAATACAAGTAATTTCTGTAGACATATAAAGGCTTTAAGAATTATTCATTAGACCTGAATATGATAGCACAGGTTGCCTGAATATCTACATTTGTATTGGGCATTAAAGTCCATCTCTTATAATAAAAACTATTAATACATTTTAAGGAAACTAGTGAGCAACATATGTGAGTAGAAAATGTACAGTGAGTTTTAACATGTTAATGTGAGGGCTACATATTGGCTACAGAGATGGCTCACTGGTTCAGAGCACATTCCGCTCTTACAGAGGATCCTAGTTCAGTTCCTAGCAGCCATGTTGGGTAACTCCAGGGCATCCAATGCCCTCTTCTGGCCTCAGTAGGAACCACCAAACATGTGGCATACATATATATACATATATATACATACATACATATATATATATATATGTGGCATACATACCTATAAATCAAAATTTAAAATAATTTTTAAAAATCTAAGGAACACTTATCCAGAGTGAGCATAGCCCTCTTGTTCAAGCCCTAACACCATATAAACAGGGCATAGCAGTACATGCTTATAATCCTCCTAGGGCTCAGGCATCATCACAGAAGGCAGGGTGGTAAGAATATAAGACCTGAAAGAGAAGAAGGTGGCCTATAAAATGTTGTCCTCTAGGCTTGGCACAGCCAGTGCAATCAGGAACCCACAGCAGCTGTAGCTGAACCGCAGTGGCATCCACAACACTGGGCCCATCATTAGTCAATCATGGATTGGGGAGGAGCTTATAGGGCCTGACCCCTCCCTGCTGAACTCGGCTACTGTTGGATTCCGGGTGAAGGACAGTCATTGTCTTCCCTTGTGTGCCCACTGAGGAGCCCATCTTTCTCCAAGTGGTAGCTCCCATCCCCACTCACACAGATGATCCTGGTTAAACTCAGTGGGTCTCAAACAAAAATAAAAAGCAAGACAATAATGTCATGAATGTGGGGAAAGGTAGGATGGGAAGGAAATAAGGGTGGGAGGAATATTAGAGAAGGTGGAGGTTAAAACAATCAAAATACATTTTACACATGCATGAAACTGTCAAAGAAAAAACTCAATAAAAATTATAAAAATCTGTAGTGTAGTATAAAGTATAAAGATTCATAGATACCCACTTAAACCCCATTTATACTTAATAGATTTTCAGTCCCATGCAAAGGTCAGTTTTGGTCTACTTCACACTGGAATTTTTAATTTTTTTGTTGTTTGGTTTTTGACACAAGGTTTCTCTGTGTAGCCCAGCTGTCCTAGAATTTGCTCTATAGATCAGCCTAGCCTTAAGCTCACAGAGATCCACCTGCTTCTGTCTCCCAAGCATTGAGAATTTTAAATGTCGGGAGCTGGCTCAAGAGGTTTCAGAGAAGAATTTTAGTCTGTTTTCTAGAAATCATTCTTGAGATAATTTGTTGACAAGAGTGGCTGCCTTTTACCCTTGTCTGAAGAGTGTGCCTGAGGCTAAAGTGAAGAGTTTTCAATTAATTCCATTGGCAGAAGAAATCTCAAAATAGCCTATTATCGATTCTGTCATATAGATATAGCGGTAACTCGAATGAAGATTTATAATGAGGAGCAAGCTGAGTAAGGTAAATTACAAAAAGTATTTTTTAAGGAGAAAAAAGAGCACCAAGAAGTGGAATGAAGCTGAATCCTATGTTCAAGGAGATAAATAGATTAATAAATGGAATAAAGGGAGTGGTGACCTCAGGGCAAGATCCCACCCAGCTAAATTGCTAACTTGGAACTAAAGAAAAGCTTAGAGTCCAGTGTGGTGGGGCATACCTTTAATCACAGCACTGGGAAGGCAGAGAATGGTAAACTGTTGCATCTTAAATGGTCTTTTTATTTATTTATTTATTTATTTATTTATTTATTTATTCCTAAATGGTCTTATAATAAAAACCCAGAGGCAGATGTCAGGGTGAAAACTGAAAGACCAGAGAAGCAGAGCAAGCCACAGCCACCACCTCTTGTCCCACCTACTCTTCAGCCTGAAAGAAGCATTGAGTTCCTGTCTCCTCCCACCTTATATTCCTTTCTTTGCCTAGGCATATCACTTCTCAACCTTCCTAGTGCTAGGGTTAAAAGTGTATGATCCCAAGTGCTGGAATTAAAGGTGTGTGCCACCACTGCCTGGCTCTGTTTCTCTTTTGGACTAGATTAATCTCGTGTACCGCAGGGTAGCCTTGAACTCACAGAAATCCAGATGGATCTGCCTCTGACTCCTGAATGCTCTATGCCTAACTCTGTGGCTGGCTCCGTCCTCTGATCTTCAGGCAACTTTATTTCTTTATAAACAACATATCACCAGTGTGGACCTCTGAATTTAAGGCCAGTCTGGTCTACAGAGAAAGTTTTGGGACAGCCAAGCTTAGGCAGTGAAGAACAGAAAGCTGGTGAAGATGTAATTTAATGAGGGGGGTCATGTTCCAGCCCCATTAAGCTTGGGACCTGGAAACTTGGCACCTTTGGCCACATGGTTCTGGCTTTAGAGTTAGGTATAGAAGAAATGGGTTATTCAACTTGCCTTTGTGCCTAAATAAAGCCACTGAGGCCAGGAATATATCAGGGGTGTCCCTGAATGAAGGCCTAGTAGAGAGGCCATTGAGTGAAGCTGTGAAGTTGAAGCCTGGATTGCCCTAGAGAAACCAAGATGTTAGAGATGCCAGAGTCATGGGATACCTGCTAACAGGGAATGGAACCAGCCCAAGAGAAAGAAGTATGTTGTAGTCAACAAAGCTGAAATGTGGTGGAGATCTGAAGAGCATTTTGACATCAGATATGGAGATGCAGAGTTTGGAGATTTGGTTTTGTTTTGTCTAGTATTTCCTCACTATGCTCCCTTGCCTGCATTTTGGAATGCTAATGTATATCCTGTGTTATATGTTGAAAGTGTATGATGATCTGCTTTTTGATTTTGATTTTTACAGGAGGATTACAGTTAAAAGATTGTCATGTGTCTCCAAAGAGACTTCAAATGGATTTTGAAACAAGTTTGAGACTGGTATAGACTATAAGGACTTTTGAAGTTAGACTGAATGTATTTTTTTTTTGCATTATGATATGGCTATGAGCCTTTGAGGGCCAGGGAGTGGAACATGGTAGTTTGAAAGAAAATGACCCCCACGGGGCATGGCACTATTAGGAGGCCTTGTTGGTGGGCAGTGTACCACTTCAGAGCTGGGCTTTGAGGTCTCTTTTGCTCAAGCTCCCTACAGTGTGACTTTCAGTCAACTTCCTATGGCCTGCAAGATGTAGGACTCTCAGCTATTTCTCCAGCACCACATCTGCCTGCATGCTGCCATGCTCCCCAGCATGATGATAATGGACTGAACCTCAACTGGAGAGCCACCCCAATTAAATGTTTTCTTCATGAGAGTTGCCATGGTCTTGGTGTCTCTTCACAGCAATGAAAACCCCAAGACAGATACATAGATAATGAAACTGGGGATTTTCAAGATAGGATTATAAATAAAAATTGTCATTTCTTAGAATCCAGTTAAATTGTTGCATGGCTTATAAGAGTGGCCCTGAAAAACCATCACATTTTCTACAGGAAATTGTAGTGGGGTCAAAGATAAGCTGAACTTCTGGCATCAGAGAATGTCCTTGACTCCCAGAAAAGACTTCTCACAGTTCTCAGGGCTTTCCTGGCACTGAATCTCATATACATATTTCCTAGTTTTGTTTCATCTTTTCTACAAACTGTAACACTGCTACAGACAAATCAATGAGAAAATGACAAGACTTTTTCTGTAATTCAAACCATAGGTAACTCATTTCCTTTAACCAATTCTGGTAAAGATCTGAGAAACAGAACTGAGATTCTGATTTTTAAAAAAAAGGAGAAGAAAAAGGAAAAAAGAAAACAGATGTAATTTGTGCATGATGTAGAATATAAGTCAAATAGTCAAGTCAGTTCATCCTAATTTCACTACTTGCCCCTCTAGAACTGATTTGCTGCAAATTTGTAGCTAGAAACTTGATTTTCCAGTCTCTTCCATTTATTTTCCAAAACTTGGGTGTGTTACTTGAAAATATTGAGAATAAAAGTTATATATATATATATATATATATATATATATATATATAGAGAGAGAGAGAGAGAGAGTATTTTAATATTGTTGGGAAATGCAAATTTTTCCAGGGTAATTGATGTTTAAGGGAATTAATTGAGTATAATGAAAATTTACATGCATTAGCTTATGCATGACTTTATCTGTTGAAAACGTTATGTGGATGTTTTCAAAAGTCTTTCTGCAAATAAACTTTGCTGAGTAGGAATATACAGCATACACACACACACACACACACACACACACACACACATACATACACACACACACACACACACACACACACACACACACTTCACATACTTAAATTTCTCCCAAATCACCACCCATGTGTTAAACGTCAAGGTTTTTGTCCTTGCCACATTTTGCATTTGTGAACTTCTATGTTTAAAAATACTCATTCATCGTCTTAGACTCTTCTACAGATCCTACTTCAAAAATACCAAGCTGTGCAGGCCAGAAAAATGCTTCCAGACCTCAGAGATGTGTACAGTGAAGTATTTTGGATAAACTAGAACATGTGTAACATCATGTACAACAGGTACAGAGTAACCAACACTGCCAACCGTGATAGACGGCAGCAGGAACTAACAGGGAGTCTGTGGCTACAATGATACCAAGTGTTGGAAAGTCCTGAAAGAGAAGAACAAGTACCAACAAGACAGGTAAGCCTGTGGATAGAGGACTAAATGGCAGGGAAAATGGACACAGCATTCTCACCATCAAAGAGGAAGCATTATGCATATGCAAAGACCTGTTTACAGAAATCAACAGACCCTACAGACACTGATGGTGATAAGATGGACATTTTGATGAGAAATTTCTCAAAGTCTTCAGCTAGGAAGACGTGAATCCAAATATGACACACACACACACACACACACACACACACACACACACACACACACACACACACACAAACAACCCCAACAATGACAAAAATAGCAGTAATTCAAAAGTGAATTAAAGACAAATTGCATTAAGTTATCTATTTGGAAGGAATGGAAGTCCATTAAAAGTATATGCCTAGAAGGATCTACAATTCAAAAGCAGAACAGCGTGCTCTGGGATTTAAAGGTACAAATCATATAACTAATATTTGAGTTTAGCCTAAAAAGCTGCATTTATCTATATGAGGTATTTCAACTTTCCAGATAACTTCAAATAAACGGTCGCCTTTCCACTTAGTGTGTTTTAATCCTTCCAATGCCCATGTCTACAATCAGGTTCCATTTGTAGTAGTAATTATGAACATCACAGCCCTTTAACATGTGTAAAACTTTATCACCATTTTTATTTGCTGTCTATAATTTTTTTCAGGTCACTGATGAATCTGTTATGTGTTGTACTCCATTTCCCCCCCAAAGCTCTGTAGTTTTACTTACACAATTTACATAACACTTCTGCTTTGAGGCACACTTAAATGTTGCTATGACAGACTGATTCCATTCCTCTTCAGGAAATACTAGATTTGTACAAATATAACTGGGTTAGTCAGCTTTCTGTAACTGCAGCAAAATGACTAAGATCATTACATTATAATGAGGAAAACCTTAGTTTTTGTCTTAGAGACTACATGTCTGCCTGTGGTGGGTTTGACATGTTGCTTTGGGGTCTGTGGCAAAGCTGTGCCCCATGAAAGGTCCTAGCTGCTGGAAGCAAATGAGAAGAGATGGAAAGGGCCCGGGTACAAATATCTCCTGTAATGGCGTATCTCAGTGATCTAAGTTCCTTGCCTTAATTCCCACCTTGCAAAAGGACCACAGACCAGGAACTGATAATTTAGCATGTAGGTCTATGGAAGTCACTTACTCAAACCTTAACAGCAACTTATCCACACATGATAGGAAGGAATTCTTCAGAAAGATTCCAGTAAATGAGAATCATGGTTTTGTCCACAACGAAGAGAAAGCAAGGATGAGGGTTTCATGTCTAGCCTCACAATCAATTCTCACATTTACAAGTTTGATTTGAGCTTCCTCTGGATTCTAGACTCATTTAATTAGCAGTGGACTTGACATTGCCATTTGGACTTCCTGCACTGATCTCATACCCTGGACATATCTGAAACACTACCTTTTCTTGGAAAAACCATTCCTCCTCCAAATTCTCTTCTCTTAGAGAACTATCACTAGACTTCTGCCCTTCCTAATACATAACCCTGGACCTTGGCCATTATGACAGACTCCCATGTACATACCCACTACATTTAAACCATCACCAGATGTGTCTAGTATCTACACATTCTCTCTCTCCCTCCCTCTTGCTTCCCCTCCTCTCTCTTTCTCTCTCTCTTGCTGTGGGATGTTCTGTATGTCCTGTGGGAACCCATTCTTGGGTTCCTCGTGGCTTTATCCAGCAGGTCCGCATAGAGGATGATTAGGACCACAAGCCTGAATGCAGGTGCCTGAGATGGTCTGCACTTGGCTGTGCTGGGGGATGGTCTGTATGGCAAGTTGCTCTGATTGGTCAATAAATAAAACCTGATTGGCCGTGGCTAGGCAGGAAGTATAGGCGGGACTAACAGAGAGGAGAAATAAAAGAACAGGAAGGCAGGAGTCACTGCCAGCCGCCCGCCAGGACAAGCAGCATGTGAAAATGCCAGTAAGCCATGAGGCAGGGTATAGATTTGGGGAAATGGATTATTTTAAGCTATAAGAACAGTTAGCAAGAAGCCTGTCATGGCCATACAGTTTGTAAAGCAATATAAGTCTCTGTGTTTACTTGGTTGGGTCTGAGTGGCTGTGGGACTGGCAGGTGACAAGGATTTGTCCTGACTGTGGGCAAGGCAGGAAAACTCTAGCTACACTTCTCAGCATAACCAAGTTATTTTATATTAAAGGTTCACCACTTTAACAAGAAAGTATAATTGCTTTCCATTATAGGTTTTGTAATATCCAAAGTCCCTTAAATTTGTTAAGGCATGGCATCAGCCTTCCTCTTCAGGTTCACTCTGTACCCTTCTTGCCTACATTCCTATTCACTGCATCCAGAAACTAAGCATAATGGAGCCAAGTTCTTTCTTGCCACACACTTTAACAGACAGATTTTTCCACGGTTTATATTCAGCATTTAGGTCTCAGGCAATTTTGCATTGTCAAAAATGTTTCATATCTTCTAATATAAGTTATCATCCCATTTCAATCATTTCAATCACTGCCTAAGTCATTTTTAGTTAAAATGTCTCTGATACTAAAATGAAAAGGGTTTTGTTTATTTTTTTTCTTGATAATAACCAATTATGATGCCAACCTAGGGTCATGTCACTCAATCCAATCCAATTGCAGTACTCAGAGTTAAACATCAGACTCGGCAAGTTTTAAGTGCTTGAGGTTCACAAGGCTGAGCTCCTTTCAGGTGCCAACAATAAGAACCACGTCTTCAAGTTATGCACTTTTGTTTGTCATGGCTACAAAGTCAGGGCTCCTGCAACCCTCTTCATGTTTGACAATTTGACAGCACAGTTCATAAGTGTACTATTAATGGTATATACAATTAATAAACAACCAAATGGAACACATACATCAGACAAGAAATGAGGGAGTTGAACACAGATTTCCCCTGCCCTCTGTGTACATTCCACAGTCCCAGCACCTTGATATGTTCACCATTCTGTAAGCACTACACACTTCTGATGATGTCTTCATTAGGTAGGCATGATTAATTGAATTTGTGGTAGCTCAAAGTGAATTCAATATCCAGCCCCTTTCCACTACCCAAAGGTCAGTGTTGGGTTGAATGTTCCATGCTTCTAACCTCCAGTCCTACCCCGAAACTACTGGGTCTGCCAAGTGTTGCCTCATTAGAACAAAAGGTGCTCCTGTGGTCACTGGCTCAGGAAATCCTAGGGCTTTAGAAGCTCTGTGCCAGGAAATGGGGACAAAGACCACACACCTTTCTATGGCAATCATTATCCTTTTATAGACTTATCACAGTTTCTATTCACTTATTTATTCATTCACCTGTGTAATTATTTGCACAAGTCATTCCCTACCAGCCTGTATATTCCATGAGATCAGAAAGCATCACTATTTTGATCACAACACTGCCTAACACAACGTCTCACACTTGAGAAGTATTTGCAGAATAAATTGATTCCTTCAGAAAATGCTGATCACGTATCCTGTTGTGGATGTTGAGTTACATCCTGGAATTAGGAGCTTACTCTTTTATGAAAGACACAGTTAATAATAATTATAGTAACAACAACAGCAATAATAAATAGCAGCAGAGACTAACATTGTACTGATCTTCTCCCAGCTTAATGACCATGGTGTGGAGTTGACACAACTATTAGACCCCTTCATGTGTAAAGAAGCTGAGACTTGCATAGATAGGTTGAGCAGTTTGATGAACATTAGACAGCCCGTCAGTGGCAGGGTTTTAATCGCCCATGTTCAACCACTCTCTGAAGAAGCAGTGAGACTTAAGAAGGACTTCACTGAGAAGAGCAAGTTGACCAGAGTCCTGAAGAATGCGTCAGTGGTTTCTAGATACAGCATGGGGTGAGGGCACACCAGGAAGGACAAAAGCCTGCCAATGTGCGAAAGGGCATGGCATATTTGTGGTAGGCAAAGAGTTCAGCAGAACTAAAGTGCTAGGTCACATGGTACAAAGTACACAGAAAGCAGGCAAGGCAAACAGGTTGGGATCAAAGTGGGAAATTCCTGTGCTAAATTTAACCTTCAAAAAGAAAAAAAAATGGTGATTTTGGTGTCAAATAAAAACTATTCCCTGGACCTTATAGAATATCAGCCTGGATATAGTATCTTAAAATATCAGTTCTGTAAGCCTTTACCAAAGAAAACTTAACATTCTTGGCTCATTAAGACATAGAGGGAATTCAAAGCAAAACATTAGAAATTCGGAATTTCAGATAAACTGAGATATTTACCTTTTCCCTTCACTTACAGTCGTGGACATGTCAGTTCTAGTCGATCATTATGGCTGAGCATATATCCAATATCTGAGCAGAAGGGAGACAGGATGGGTCAGTGTTTGATTGCTGTGAGAGGAGTGCTTCACCCCACCCCCCACAGAGGCAGCCCAGTGTGGTATGTCTGCATTCATACAAGACAAGGAGAGCATTAAGGTGGTCAGGCAGCCAAGCAGTGGCAGGAGAGCATGACCACAGGCATGGCCCAGAGCAGCACAGCAAGTTCAAGGAGGGAAACAAAGGGAGTCATAAGACAGGCACATGGCACAAGGTTTCACAGTCCAGGCAGGATGAGAAAGGTGTCTATCTGGGAAGAAAGGCATGATATGGGAAACTGGGATTAACATCACTTGACGAGGAAACACAGGCATAAGGCTGACCCAGTGATGGATGTTATAACCCGAAGTTTCTGTGTGAATAAGAAGGTGTCCACACAAGGAAGAGGGACAAAGCAGCATCCTAACCTGACTGGAGTGAGGAAGATATGCCCGGAAGGAGAAAGGAAGGGACAGCAATGGAATGAGTCACGTGTATGGACTGGGATAGGTACACATGCTAGGAGTTAGGACTCAGTACAGGTAATGGAGATGAGTTATGAAAGAGGATATAAAGCTAATTGTTTTTCTAGTTCTAATTCTGTCTTGGATTTTTTTGTTTTGGGTGGTGAATAAATACATGTTTAATACTGAAAGCATAAAATTTAATGTGAAGTTCCACAGCTTCCATTCCAAATGTATATTTTAACTCAGTGAAGTGCATTGAGATATGATTTTTTGCAAGGTTTTGTTTCTTTTTATTTTTTTAAGAGAATAGAGTTTATAAAATTAAAAAAGAAGAGTTAGGTAGGCATGCAGGGTCTTAGTTCAGAGGAAGGGGTTGCAGCTATGGAACTCTGTAGGAACTGATAAACTGAAGACATCACTATCATTTCAGCCTTAGAATTCCGCCCTTACTCCAGCTGCATGACCGCACATGCGCAGTTCAGGAGTTAAGCAAAGGTCTTGCATCTTACATCACGCTCTGGCGACTACGTGCACATGGTGTGGTCACACAATTAGCGCATGTTTGGTGTAGCTCCGTAAGCCTGCCTGTGTGTGTTCACCAGGAACCCTTAAAAAGCCGGGCGCAGATCTCTCTCTCTCTCTCTCTCTCTCTCTCTCTCTCTCTCTCTCTCTCTCTCTCTCTCTCTCTCTCTCTCTCCCCGCCATCTTTCCCTCTCACCACACGTGCTCCTTTCCTAGGCCTGGTTCTCCTCCTCCTCCTCCTCCTCCTCCTAAAGCTCTCCGTTGCTAGGCTGTCTTGGCCGTGCCTCATGACCTTTCTGCCAGTAACCAGCGCTGCCATCAGAGCCGTCTATCATTCGTTTCACTCAGGCCTTTTAAAATATATGCTAGGAATAGAAATAAACACATAAGCTGAGGTGTTAGGATACAAATGTGTGTGCATATTCCCTTGCTATGACAGTGAGAAGGCATTGCATAGGGGCAAATATCACAAACACAATCAACACCCAGATCTCAGTTTCTACATACCTTTTTCCACTTGAAACTAGGGTGCTCTTAAAGAGGCTGAGTTTGGGACTGGGCAGAAAATGTACAATATGAGTCTACAATATCTTACAGTGTCTGGTAGAAATAAATGCTTACTGAATAATGGAGAGCTGTTAAAAGACAAACAAAGCCAAGTTGAATGGACTTCTACTCACCAAATCAGGAATAATAGAAGAGGGACATAGAGAAGACTGATCTTACTTTTTCTAGGCAATAGGGGTGCAATCAATTCCCCAATGTCTTGCTGTTTGTTCACACTCTGGGCCAGGTCCTGGTGGCAGGTGTCACAAAATGAGACATCGTGAACAGAGATCAGTGATGCCATTGTCCAGATGGAGACATTTTCTTTGGAGCCTGGATCACTGTTAGGATCTGGGAGTTTCTGTCTGATAATAATAATAAGCTTTTTGATTAACATTTTAAATGCCATATTCTGCAGATCTCTGAGCTTTTGAGGACTGCCTGTCTATTAGGTATGAATGGCTGACTGTCAGCTAGTATTCCCTAAGTCTCCCATATCTTAGCAGCTTCCACAAAGCTAGGACTTGCTGTCTCCTGAGAAGACAAAGAAGAGCAACAGGGGAAAGATCCAAATAAGAACAGGAGAAAAGGGGCTTGTGAGTCAGGGTACAGCCCACCTCTGAGAAGAGGACCCTCTGAGAAAAGGAAAAGGACCCTCTCAGTGGACCAGAAACTACATCCTGAATGATTTGTATAGAAATAATTTCTTAAGGTTATAAAAAACTACCTCTTTTGATCGCATAAAGAAGGTCAAGTGTCTTATCTTATTGCAGAACCATTTTAATTAATAAATATCAATTGACAATATTGGGTCCAGTTTCTTGGTATGTCTATGGGCATTAGGTAGCCAATTTGGTCCCCTACACCAGGGGTTCCATCCTTAACTTAGCCCTGAAACCTGTCCTGGGAACAGGGAGCACAGGACAATGTATTCTCTGTAGCTAGAGTTTTCCTGCCTTGCCCACAGTCAGGACAAATCTTTGTCACCTGCCAGTCCCACAGCCTCTCAGACCCAACCAAGTAAACACAGTGACTTATATTGCTTACAAACTGTATGGCCATGGCAGGCTTCTTGCTAACTGTTCTTATAGCTTAAATTAATACATTTCCATAAATCTATACCTTGTTATGTGGCTGGTGGCTTACCAGTGTCTTCACATGATGCTGGCCATGGCGGCAGCTGGCAGTGTCTCTCTGCCTCAGCCTTCCGCTCCTCAGAATTCTCCTCTCTCCTTGTCCCACCTACTTCCTGCCTGGCCACTGGCCAATCAGTGTTTTATTTATTGACCAATCACAGCAATTTGACATACAGACCATCCCACAGCAATTCTCCATAACTGCTTCAAGCTGAAACAGGGTGCAGGTGGTCAGGACTCTGGCTAGTCAAAGGTAAGGAGGGAACCCAGGCAATGGGATATTTATCAGAAGCATGTGGTCATCTGACCTAGCCATAGAGAAAGGAAATTACTACATTTGCTGGACTGATCTACATCAGCCTTCAGTGAGTCCATGTGTTCACAGGTCGAAGTCAGTAGCCAGAGCCTGGATGTGTCAGTCAGCCAAACAGAAGCCCACTGAACAGATACAGACTAGAGACAGAGTTAAAATTTGTGAATTTATTTGAATTTTCAGGCCTGTAGTTTTGGTAATTGCAGACCAGGAGAGAGAAAAATGTCATCATCAGGAATAGACTCATACCTATAGGTTTAAAATCCTGAGCTTATGACCCAACAGTATCAGAACTATATTAATGTAAATCTGAAATTTTAAAATTTTAATATAACAATATCATAAAAGGGGAAAATAATTCAAAGCATTTAGTTCATCTATTTATATCTTTGTAACTAGTACTTATATCCTGAATCATTTATCATTTTAAAAGATTTGAAATCTCTTAAACATTACTGCTTGTACCCTATCCCAGCATAGGAGCATGCTGTCCCTGCCCAGAAAGTGACTTCCAAGTGCCCTTAATAAAGATGGTGATGAGGTCATATGACTTGTCTGTTTTGACCTTATTAAAGATGGCACCTGACAGACCACATGATTACCCTTATCAAATATGGCATGGCGTCTGACCACGTGGTCATGTGGGGTTTTTTTCCCCCAAAAAATAAACTAAACAGATAAGGAACATATAAACTGAAGCATTTGAAAGTCAGTCAGAAAAAAATAAAGGTGGTCATATCGATCATACATTTCCATTCACACATAAGAAATAGATTTTTTTTGGCGGGGGGAAAGACGAAGATAAGTTTTCCTGGAAAACTTTTACAGTTAATGCATTGAAGCTTGGAGGCAGTGCCGTAGAGGAGATTGGGAAACAGAGTAGCAGTGTAGCTGAGCCGGAGAGGGGGACTCCGCCCCCAAACCCAAGCCATGGGTCTCTTGAGAGGTGGTGGTGGTAGGGGCTGTGCCCCGCCTGCCTTGACCAAGAGCCTGAGTGGTGGTGGTAGCAGCGGAAATACAGTCAAGTGACCAGACATTTCTGTGGCCAGTCCACCACCCCTTTCTCTCAGCTGCCAGTGGGGCAAGGCTCAGAGCTGCGTGCCAAAATCCCATGGGTGGGACAGGAGGTCCTGGCCACAGAGTTAAGTGACAGAGAGAAAAGATTTAAGAGATAGAACTACAGGCAAGGAGAGGAATTAGAAGCAAGGGACAGGCAAAGAGAATGAACTTTGCCTGGTTTTAAAGGGTGCGCCTGCCGTGGAAAGGAACCTGGTGACAGGGGATGACGTAATTGCTTAGGAGAAACTGGAGGAGCATGTCGGGGGTTGGCCATGAGGAAGGAGCTGGAATAGGAGAGGGTAGGTGCTTTTATCACAGTGAGGTAAAAACGTCCAGCGGACTGACCTCCAGCATCCCAGAGAGTCAGCGAGGACCAACGAACAACCAAGATAGCCAATGGACCATTGTATCGGAAGCTATGGGCCATGGAATTAAGTGGGCACAGGCTGTCTCCATATGCTGCCACATAGGGCCAGGGGCCAGGGCTGTGAGCCCGAAAGACACGTGGTTCTGGTACCATTGAAAGAAAAGAGACGAATCCTCAGGTGTGGCAGAAGGGAAGAGGGGAATCTTACCTATACGATAGGGTGAGGATTCCCAGCGGTGCTCCAGTCAGAAAAATGGTGCATGGTACAGGGTCCCAGAGCTCATCAGACTGCCCACAGGCAGGAGAAAGCAGTGGGATAGCCTGCCCCACATTGGGCACCAATGTTATGATATATCAGTGGGAGGCCCTGGCTGGTTGGGCCAAGGTGCCTCACAGCAGGTGAGAGACAGAGATGCTATGTAGACAGCGCTCAGTGAAGAGTTTTATTTGAGGGGGGAAGAGAATGAGGGGAGAGAAAGAAGAGAGGGATAGGAAGAGAGGAAAGGGAAGGGGGTGCACACCTTGTGTGAGGAGAGAGAGAGAGAGAGAGAGAGAGAGAGAGAGAGAGAGAGAGAGAGCGAGCAGATGCCGGAGAGAAAGGGGAGGAGTTTTTCCTTAAAATGAGGCTTTTACATCAGGACACAGGGCGGCCCCAGGGGGCGGGTTTTCAAGGGGCGGGTCAGAATATTAAGTCAACACTAATTAGTAATAGATTTCACCTAGTAAATGAAAGAGGAGATCATGAGTTCAAGTTTATGTGGGTAAATAAGCGCATGAATGGAAACTATGCTGAGAATGGAGCTTCTGTGTATTTTCAAAATTACACCACTCACCTACAAACACACACACACAAAAAAAAAAAATTATTAACTTCAAAAAGAAGTTACCTCACAGATGACAACCCTAGTGAATGTCACTTTATTTGGGTGATTAAAATGATCACAAGGAATAGTATGAGATAGACTTTTGTCCCACCTGATAAAATATAAAGGAAAGAGTGTAGCATCACATTTGTATTTGTGTGTGTGTGTGTGTGTGTGTGTGTGTGTGTGTGACATGTGTATTGTACTATAGTGTGGTGTGTACTTGTTGGTGTAGGTATGTGCAGATGAGATGTGCTTGTAGATGCGTGTGTGTGTGTGTGTGTGTGTGTGTGTGTGTGTGTGTGTGTCTGTGTGTGTCTGTGTGTTGTGGGCAGGGGGGGGTGCACCTGTGGAGGCCAGCGGTTGGGTCAGCTGTCTTTCCTTCTGACACTCCACCTTTAGTTTTTGAGACAGGGTCTCCCACTGAACCTGAACCTCATTGATTTGGCTAGGCACACTGGTCGGTGACTTCCACTACCTGTCTGTCTTTATGAACTCTGCCCAGGGCTGAGGCTACAGGTTCAGATGGCTGTGCCCAGCATTTTATGTAAGGTCATGGGATCTGAACCTAGGTTCCCTATTCTTACTCAGCTGGCATGTCACTGACTGAGCCATGCCCCCAGACCTATATTTAGGATCAGAAGGTCAAAGATAGCATAATGTAAAACCAAGAGTAAGGATGTATTAGACAAAACTCAGGGGAGATTTTATAAAACATTTAGCATGTGAACTTTGAAAGGAATGGGATCATTAGCTAAGGGAAGACAAAGATAAGAATGTGGTCCACAGTGAAGGCGATAGAGAAACAAAAGAATGCAACAGGCAAGTTCCCACTTGGTCTCTAACTGTAAAGGGTGCAATCACAATGTGCTCTGAAAGTGAGATAGTGAGTTCTTTATTGGAAGAACTGCACTGCGAGTTTTGATCTCTTTGGGAAGTACACATTCAGTTATTCAGAGGTGATGATTTTAATACATATTTTTCAGCAACAACTGAAAAATATCCAGAAAAGATATTCACTGTTTGGTAGAGTCAACCTTTCTCTAGCATGAAGCCTTCCTTCTAAAGCAGAACCACCACCACCATGCTTATGGCAGTCTAGTTCTCTTCAACTCAAGTGTAATGTGAGACCTGGGTCCTTCGAACATCATACAGCTTACTACTTCTCAGCATCCTCTGTGTACCGCTTCCATCTTAACAAATAACCCTTGCTTTCAATATTTGAAACTGCTTACTAATTACACAGCCACCACTGAAGCTGTCCCAAGACTATGAGGAGTACATTTATTAAAAAAAAAACAATTTAATAAGACTGAGATTATTTAGCTTGTTGCAGCATGGGAGGCCACACCCTGTCAGAAGACAGGGCCATGGGAGTCAGATGAGTTTCAGAAGAATTCTTATGGAACTGGAGATCATGTTAGATGATCCTAGAGAGGAACTAATGAACCAGCCTACACATTCTCAGGAAGCAGGGGGCAAAAATCAGTGATGAGGAACTGGGGTCAATGAGGCAGAAGATTAAAGCAAGCTTGGCGTTGTCAACGGGAAGGAAGCAGCCATCTTTCACGGTGGTGAGAAGACAGACATGTTTTACCATTGCTATGGTCACATAGTAGGCTTACCTAAGCATTGAATTGAACATTGGTTTTATTCTATTGAGAAGAGTGTGCCCTGGCTCTCACCAGAACCACTATTTCACCAGAAAAGTTGGTTTTGAGTCATAGCATAAGAAGCAGGCAGGGCATAAACCAAAATGCAATCACAGACAGTCTGCTGGCAGTGGACAAACCAACAGAACCAAAATAACAATAATAACTTGCTCACCAGTTCTAAGTTCCATGGACTGTTCTAAGGACTTGGCAAATGCTGCACAGGTTTAGTTCTCAAAGAAACACCACGGAGCAGCTAATATTATCTCCATTAGCTAAGGGCCAGAGAGATGGATGTGCCTATTATGTCTCAGCCAGTTCATAGCAAAGACAGAACCACTCTGATATAATCGTGGCCACATGTTTACTGATGTGACTTAAAGTATTATCTGGAATTACGGAATAAGACATAGTATCCTTCAAGACACCCCTTAAGATCTCTTCTAATCCTTGGCCATGTTCCATTCTGACATTCATTAATCACAGGATATAACATAACCTTACATTTCATAGAGATCAATAAAGTAAACCCCTTTGACATTGAGTTTTACCTCTTAACTCTGTCCATAGTCTCCTTTTGTTCTTTCACCTACATAGCTTAATTTTAGTGTGTGAACCCTCTGTTGCTCCCCCACACACTCCAGGTGTTCTCTTGTAATTGCCTGATTATGTGTCTGCCTTAGAAGTTGGCTTTTATTCCTCCTTTTGGCTGCCCGGACTTCTGATATCCTGTGGGGGAGTTACTACCATGCTGTACTGAAAAAGGTTTAACAGCTGATTCCTCAGGCAGGGAAATAAGGACACACCCATGTACCATACCAGAGTGCATGTGCACATTCATGCCCGCATGTGCACACGTGACTGCACACACCCACATGCACACATACATTTATTACATTTTACTTGCACCAAAAACATGTAGCAATAATCATGTATATTATTTCCTCTCTACTTAATAGTCCAAATGATCATTCCGTCCTTACAGAATGTTGATGTCAAACTCTTTCAACCAATTGCAGCTGGCATTGACAGAAGAGCCGAGTTCCCCCTCTAAGGTTGGTCAGTGTGAGTAATTATGTTGATGACCAAGGCAAAAATGAACAAAGTCCTATGCTCCTTTCTTGCTCCTTGAGGTCATAAGTGGGTTCTTTGTGGAATCTGATGGGTAGTTTAACACTGGCAGAATATCTCCATGTTTTTTGTATTATTTTCAGTATGAGGGCTACAGATAGGACACAGTTGAGAGTTTAATCTTTTTTTTTTTTTTTTTTTTTACATTTCTCTGTTACTTTCTCAAATCTAAATAACTGAAAAAGCCACAGATCAGTCCTGGTTTGGAGCATTTATGAATTTTTGTGGTATAAACACCCCCGCCTGGACTGATCTCAAACTTCCAACACGATGCTATTGAACATGAATACAAAGCCAGAAAGAAATTTGCATAGACACCAACACACACATACACCCCCATCATACAGTCACAATAGAGGCAAGTAATAAAAAGAGAATAGATAGGGAGATGTTTTGATCATTTATTATCTTTTAAAAGGTAAATTTCATCATAAATTAACTTTTGTGGTAGCTATATTTAACATCCAACTTATAAACCTGCTAATGTTTTAACAGTTGACTCCAGTGAGCAGATGTAAACCAGACACAGATACTTCAGCTCTACTTGGCTGTGTGTGGTCTTTCATGGGAGGGACTGTATTCCATGAAGGAAACCAAAGGAAACAAGCCTCCTTTCCATCCAGATCAGCCAAGGGACAAGCCTGGAACCCAAACCTGGCCAGCTGTGTGATCCTTTCCCAGGCTCTCATTCTTGATGAAGTCATAAAGGGAGGGAAGATTGGTCATCCAGGATGCTAGCAGTTGCTGGCCAAGCAGATTCTGCTTATGGGACCAGGTGTGTTCCCTGTCTGCTCTCTGGATATTTCCTCATTCTTGCCACATTCTATACCAATAAACCTGTAGTGTTCCCATATTCTGTCCACAATTTACATTCTGCATAGACTAGAAATTATTTCTACTCTTCACAATTGGCAAGTCTAACAAGTATTTTTTGAATTCTTCATGACAAAAGATAAGATTGTCTTCCCAGTTTTAGGTTTTGCATGTACACACTTCGAAGCACTAGGTGAAAGTCCAAAAAGGTATTTGCTAATGTGAAAATATAAGTTACACAGTTAGGGTAACAGTAATGATTGTGTAGATTATATATGAGCCCCTAACATAATTCAAAGCAGGAAAATTGGGTTCTGAGCCTTGAAAATTAGAAAAGAATCTAGTGTCACATTTCAATGACATCTTCATATATTAAGATTTGACACTTGTCACAGGATCAGATACTTCTGTGCATGCCACACATTCTGTCCACCCGTTGCTTTGCCCCAGTCATGAAGGAGCTTTACATATACAACCTAGTAAATCCTCAGCTCAGTGTCCTCACAGTCCCTGGCATTTTGCAACTCACACACTATACTCATGCACACACAATCCAGAAGTGAGAGAAATACCAGCCATGAAAGAAAACTTCATTAATGTGGAAGAGACCTCAGTGGTGAATTCTTCCCTTCTAGGGACCCTCCAAAAGACAATTCCAAGTAATATTTAAATGGCTTTTCAAAAAAGTCTCAGAAAGCTGATATAGCTAAATAACAACTGACATGAATTAGATAAATCACAAAATACTCTAAATTTTGTTGTTTACAGAGTCTGGTTGTTAGGAGACAATAAGTTCTATGTGTACAAATAACTTCATATTGAATCTGAGGAAATGGCTCAGCTAGTACATCACTTTAGGATGTGAGTTTAGATCTTCAGTACCCAGATAAACCAATCAGGCCCATCAGTGTACACCTGTAATCCAAATGCGGGGGAGGAAAAGACAAGAGGATCCCTAGAGCTCACTGCTTACCAGTCTAGCTGAATCAGTGAGCTCCATGTTTAGTGAAAGGCTCTGTTTCAAAAATAAGATGGAGAACAATTGATGAAGAACCCTGACCTTGATGTCTACTTCCATCCTCACTTGTGCACACATGTACATGTACCTACACACACACACACACACACACACACACACACACACACACACACACACACACTATATACATATAAGCATATGAAGAAATAATTTCAAACAATTATACAGTACATTTATTTGTAGGAGCTGTCAGTGGTGGTATATGTAGATTTTGCTGCATATATAAGCTTATCAGTAAAAATTCAGATGCATGTAAGTCAGTAAAATGTGTTGAATTATGAAGGTAATAAAATAGCATACATAAGGCATAAGATCTACATAGTTCCAAAATTGAAGGATAAGTTTTCTTTCAATGATGTTAGCTAACAGACATTTGTCAGTGATATTAAGCTCACCATTGTTCTATGTGACAAAAACACACAATATTTAACAAAAATAATAAAAGGTTCTGGCTGTCATGGTCCAAGACAGTTATATAATTCTTCAAAGGATCAGAAGCCTTCTTTGGCATGAACTGATGAAAATAATCTTACAACTTCACATAAGCCAAACTGCTATGCTCTGAAGACACGTCTCAACTGTACAAACTGAACAATAAATGTCTTCTTGCATCCTTTAGTGAAAACCGATGGGAAAGCATCAAAGGTTGTATTGGTCTGAATATGAAGTGAACCATTGGTACCCAGCAGGTGTCATTGTGGATATGTAGAAAAGTTAAGAGGTATAGCTTACCTGAAGGAAGTCGGACACTGTGAGGGGTACACTTGAAAGTTATACCTGACCCCTTGCCCTGATCTTAGTTTATATTTCCTGATCACCATACCATCAAGAAGCCCCTCTGCCATACTCTCCCACCACTATGACATTCTGCTCAAGTCCATGGGTACAGAGGTACACGGGCACAAATCACCATTGACTGAACACTCTGAAACCATGAACTCCAATAAGTCTCTTCTCCTTTAAGGTATAGCAGTCAGCTGTTTAGCCATGGTGGTCAAAAGTCTGACTAGTCCAGTCTTTCTCCATGGGGGAACCACACAGGAAGCCTGTAGCACCAGGAAAATGCATACTTTTCAACTGGCCTAAGTTAATCTCAGCATAGGGTTTGATAACTAGACAATATATTTCTCTAGATCAGCATCAGAACACTCCTGGAGGCTTCTAAACACTTGCACAGCACAGAGTCTTGGTGGAAACAGGCGAGTTTATCTGCAGCTTTTCAGGTTGCTTTGACAAAACAGCCAACAAAAGCAACTGGAGGAAGGAGGATAAAGGCGTGCTTCGGCTCACAAGGTGTAGTTCCTCCTGGTGTACAAGGCAGGGTAACAGGAGCCTGATGTACATCGCACCCACAGTCGCGACGCAGAGAGACACGATGATGAGCTAAGTTATCCGTCTCATTTTCTTGAGTCTAGAACTCTAGCCCAGAGTATGGTATCATCCACATTCAGGTTAGATCTCTCTTATTTAGGTAAATCTTTCAGGAAACATCCTCATAGACACCCTCAGAGGTGTGTTTCCACGCTGCTTCTAAATTCAGTCAGGCTGACAAGATTGAGCATAAAAGCCAGCAGCCTTTATTTTGAAAGAATTCCTTGGGGTCATTTTCTACATTTCAAATTTTACAAACTAGTAACTTTAATCAGGAATACTTTTTTAAATAGTTCACTAGGATGTTTTAACTACTTAATGTTGTGTAAGTAATTGTTCTTCTCCAGAATCCTATTCTATCTGTAACATACTTTAAAATATATTACTATTACTTATTGTAAGTTTTGATTCTCTAGTTAGGGAGAGAGAATTTTTACACAGTAAAATCATATATTACAGTCTTTGATGGACTCTGGGTGGTTTGAGAACACAAAGGAGGGAATATTTATGGTGAGCTGGTTTGACATTATAGGAACAGCTGATTTGAGCTAAAAAGAAAACATGACTAAAACTTCCATGGGCTTTTCCCCTCAAGTTTGCATGCTTATTTATTTAATGTGTAACTCTTATTTGTCAGTCTCTGGGTCAGGAATCTCTGGGGCTTGTTTTGTTGTTGTTGTTTAGAGATGGGATATGGCTGTGACATCCAGGCAGGACCTTAAAATAATTATCCTTCTGCCTCAGCCTCCCAAGGACAGAAATTACTGGTATGTGGCACCACACCTGGCTTTGGTATGCACAGTCTTCTCTCTCTCTGGGATTCAGGAGGGAAAAAAAAAAACACTGATCAAGGGGCATAGTTGACAAGATCCTTCCAGAATCCTCTGGCAATATCAATTTCCTTTGGTTTATCTGAGGTTTAAAGGCAAACTGTTCCACATAGTATTCTTAGGCAGGAACCTAAAGAGTGAATGTTTTTTGCCTTTCAAATCAAAGTACGAGGAAGTTGGGCTAAATTCTAGTGTCAGAGTACATGGGCATAAATAAGCCCCCTTCGGGTGAGTATGATAATTATGGTTCACAGCAGAGGAAGAAGTTGAGTTAGAGGACATTCTCTGTGTGAGGCATTTCATACGTCTCAAATGTGTCATTAGAAACAAATATTTATCTTTAGTTTATGATTTATCTTGTAACCACTTTGCTGTATAATCACTCTGGTAAAAGAAAGCCTCAAACATTCTTTAACTAACATGATGTTCAAGGTATATATATGGAATGAGATGACTAGGTAAGGCACTCTGGGAAAGTCTAAATCACATAGAAACACTTTGCCACCAGCCAGAGACTTCTGACCTTTCCACTGAGATGCTTGGCAGGAAAAAGAATACCTTTCCCCAGATAATTGTTAGACTTTTAACTTACCGTTGTGCATAAAACTCTCTACATTTTATTGACATCATTTTCAAGAAGATGGACTGTCTCAGTTAGGGTGACTATTGCTGTGATGAAACACCATGACTAGAAGCACCTTGGGGAGGAAAGGGTTTATTTGGCTTACGTATCCTGACAGGGTCCACTGAAGGAAGCCAAGGCAGGGGCTCAAATTGGGCAGGAACCTGGACACAGGAGCTGATGCGGAGGCCATGGAGGGGTGCTGCTTACTGACTTGCTCCTCATGGCTTGTTCAGCCTGCTTTCTTATAGAACCCAGGACCAGTGGCCCAGGGATAGCACCACCCACAATGAGCTAGGCCCTTCCCCATCAATCACTAATTAAGACAATGCTCTGCTTGCCTATAGTCCATCTTATGGAGGCATTTTTTTATTTGAGGCTCCCTTTGGAATGACTCCAGCTTACATCAAGTTGATATCAAACTAGCCAGCATGGAGATAAACAAAGTTTCATTGTCAAGGGAGATAATGGAAATGAATGAATGGGCTTTTAAAAAAACATTTCAAAGGATCTTCAGAAATACCTTGTATCCACTATATGGTAGTAAAGACTGAGACTTGCTAATTAGTGGTGTGAAAAGAGTCATGAAGGAGCCTCAGGCCAGGTGGTGAGTCCCCAGGGAAACACCTACGGAGGGGGGTGGTGGTAAAGTTTTGTGCAAGAGGATTTGATAGTAACATGGTTTGTCAGAAAAGCATCCATTTCCTTCCCATAAATCATGCTACAATGAGCACATTTTAGAAATAAATATTAAAAATCTGGCAATTAGGATATAAAAAACCGAAGTTATGTGGTAAATTTCATAAGATGGTATATTCTGTTTCTTTGTCCCAAATATACTAGCCTCCAGCAAAGGTGATCTGTTATGAAATGGGGAGAGGCCTTGGCGGGTAGAGCCAAGGTGCCTCATGGTGGGTAGGAAACAGAGATGCCATGCACACAGCACTCATTAGGGAGTTTTATTTGGTGGAGGGAAGAGAGAGGGGAGAAGGAAAGAGAGAGATAGGGAGAGAGAGACATAAACAGAGAGGGAGAGGGAGAGATGGGGAGGGAGAGACACAGAGAGAAAGAGAGAGAGAGGGAGAGAGAGAGAAGAGAGAGAGAAGGGGGAGGAACACACTACATTGTGGAAAGAGGGGGAAGAGAGAGCAAGGGGGCATAGTCTTTTCTTTTTTATAGTATTTTTATTTTATAATTAACTTAATTTCACATATCAGGCACGGATTCCCCCATCCTCCCTCCTCCCACCCCCCCAGCCCTCCCCCCAACCCAACCCCTATCCCACCTCCTCCAAGGGAACTGGAATGTAAGATGACTTCAGGATGCTGGGCAGGCCAGGGTACTATCTGCATGTTGGCCAGGATCCTAAGAAGTGGATCTGAATGCTAACATGATCTACCTCTATTACATTAAGATAATATAATATCATATAATATTATAATATATATTAATATAGTAACTTAAAATTAACTTAATAACATAATAACCTTTTTTTCTGTTAATCCTACAAGAGTGCCATAATTTTTAGAATTAACATAAAACCAAAGAATCATTTCTTAGATCGGCTTTTTTTGCATTTAACTTATTGTGTGTGCATATAAATGCATATGTGCATGCATGCACACATATCATGGAGTGGGTATGGAGGTCAGAAGACAGTTTGCAGGATCCAGTTCTCTCCTTCCACCATATGAGTTCTTGGCAATCAGACTCAGAAAATCAGGTTTGGTGTCAAGGGCTTTTTACCAACTGAGCCGTCTTTCCAGCCTTCAATATGTATTTCAGCAACATTTCTAAATTTATATATATATTTTTTCAGTTACTCCAGGTTTTTATTTCAATATTTATGGCAATAATTAGGAGTAATATTTTGAGTAATATTGTAAAATGACAGGTTTAATCAGTTATTACATTATATTACAGATGCATTCACTGAACTAAACACCCCTTAATGTATACTTCATTCCATTCACCTAGGTGCACGCGATTGTGATAGAGAATGTTCATGATTGCCTCACCCTTGTGCACCGCAAGAAGGGTAAGCAAACAGATCATTTTATTTTGAATGAGCACAGACAGTGCTTAGGAAGTCTTGACAATCCCAAGTCAGAAACAAAGATTAAAATTATTTAATACTTACATGTGTGTGCATGTGCACACCGTTATCTGTGCTTGCCTATGTGGAGGCCAGAAGTCAATGTTAGGTTCCTTTCTCTATCACTCACCACTTTATTTTCTGAGACAGGATGGACCTAGAGTTCACCACTTTGGCCAGATATCTAGCCAGCAAGTTCCCAGGGTCTGCTTTACCTGTGTTGTGGTTATAGACACATGCTATCATGCCTGGCCATACACGCATCTGAAGTGGCCAAGGATCTAAGCTCAGGTCTATATGTTCGCACAGCAAGCAAAATGACCCATCTTACCAACCCACAAAATTAAGTAGTTTAAGAAAAGCAATAACATTTTATGTCTTCCAAAAGTGACAAGAGATAGAAAGATCTTACTTCGTTTCAATGCCAGAGAAGCCCCATTAGAATCTATTTATAACAGGACTCTAGATAGCATGTGACAGAAACCCAACTCACAGGTGAGGACTAAGACTACCACTAGGCCTGGGAAGCCTCTGCTGCTGTGACTATGAGCTGTGCTATTGCAATCCCTACCCTCGCTCCTCCATTCCCCTTTGCAAGTTCCTTCTACTCCTTCTCTTCCCGTGGGCTTCCTCTAACCTTGGGTCTACATATGAAAAAGCAAAAGTGCCCATAATTTTTAAGTTTACATTTTAATTATCACCTAATCAAAAGCTGCCCTGTCAGAGTGGCAAATCTAATATTTCCAAGAAAGGACCACATTGGATAAAGGTCATCAAATGTCGGACTCCAGAGCAGCATTTCAGAAGGTGAGATCTGTTATTTAAGACAAACAGGCTTCTTGGAATGCCAATCTTTCTGATTTTATTTTAATTATTTCTTGTCATCATCATCATCATCATCATCATCATCATCATCATCATCAGTTGCTGTTGCTTTCAAGACGGGCTCTCACTATGTGGCTCTGGCTGTCCTGAAACTCACTATGTAGACCAGACTGGCCTCTAACTCACAGAGATCTGCCTGCTTCTGCCTGCATGCTGATTTTATTTTTACCACAATCAACCTAAAATTAGTCAGAGGAGTTCAGAAACATCAGCCTCCACATACAAGGAACATAACACAGTTACAATTATATCCATCTGTCATTTTGTTTAATTTACTTTTGTTGTTGTTGATTGGTTAGTGTCTCTTTTTTTGTCAGTTTTTCCCTGCAAAACATATGTGTAAAGCTAGATGACTCATTAACTTGACAATGAATTTTCATTAACTGAAGACTAAGATGAAATGGGCTCTTATAAACTTCTACCTTCCAACTCATCTTTCAGATTGTTGAAACCAGAGTTTTGGAATAATCTTCTTCCCAGTGTCTACCCATCTCACCAGTGCTCAAATGCAGGAAAATAATATTAATGTACTCCCAGACAAGAAAATTATGCATAATCTAAATCTAAATGATTCCATAAAAGCATTACCCATATATGATCCTATCTCACTTGACATTTATTCAATCTTAATCTTTCAAAGGTCATTTGTCAAATGATGACATTGTCAGATATTTATTTGTGCAGGAAGTCATCATGCCATGATAATGCCACCTATGATAAATTCATATTTTGACAGATGACTTTTAACTTTTTCCAGACTTTCAACATTCTATGCAACAGAATTCACTTTGCCAATATTATTTTAATCCCATCTACAATCAAGCCTTTGGTATCATCTTAATGCAAGGAAGAAGGAGAACAAATGTCAATATGTCTTTCTCCATTTTTATTTCCCTACGATTTGTTGTTACCCATAAAATACGGTTATCTAGTGGAATCCAGTTTTTGCTAATGTTAGAAAACATAATGCCTCTTGTTTTTATTTCAAGAGAATTTTTATTTCATAGAGATATGCTTGTTTTTGTCAAAGATGCATGTAACCAGAATTATTCAACTACTAAAACCATGTAATTGCATAGGTTATTAACCCAACTAACATTTATACTTACTAACTTACTACGTATGGCCACTTACATTTGTTATAATTATTTAATCCATATGACACCCTTCTGAGACAGGAATTCTTGTCACCATCTAATATTTGAAGACATTGAAATATAAAACAAGAAAAATGGGCTCAGTTGGTAAAATGCTTACTCCACAAGCATAAAAACCTGAGTTCAAGCTCCATGTTTCTCTTTGTGGAAAGGACATATCATAGGAGGGACCTATGCTACAGGAGAAATAAAAATTAATCAACTCCAGTCTGCAGAAACAGAAGGTTTGGGATCAATAAATCAAGGATGCATTGTACCAAGCAGCCAGAATTCAGTAAAAAGAAGAGAAAATGGCCAGAATCTAGAATTATGTATAGTCTTTAATCATGATGGTTAGGCCACGCTGAATTAGTGGGTTGTCAAAGCCACACTGCATAGGTTCAGCTCCTAGGCATCAGCACACCAGCTAGCTCCTCACTATAATGGCCTCATGTGAAAGCTGCATGCAAAACTAATACATGGTTATTAGGGACAGAATCATAGATGTCTATCCCTATATCTTGGGGTGTGATTTAGGGACAGCAGGATTTAGGGAAATGGTTTACAATACAGGCCAATAAAAGACATTGTGATGCTGTGGATATTACTCTATGTAAATAAAACACTGATGGCCAGTGACCAGGCAGGAAGTATAGGCGGGACAAAGAGAGAGGAGAATTGGGGAAACAGGAAGGAGGGAGAGACACTGCAGCCACCGCCAGGAGAAGAGCATGTAAAGATGCCGGTAAGCCACCAGCCACGTGGCAAGGTATAGATTTATAAAAATGGGTTAATTTAAGATAAAAGAACAGTTAGCAAGAAGCCTGCCACGGCCATACAGTTTATAAGTGATACAAGCGTCTGAGTGATTATTTTATAAATGGATTGTGGGACTGCGGGGCTTGGGGAATCTGGAGAGAAGCCCTCCAGCAACATTGTGAAGTGAGAAAAATACAGGTGTCAGAACTTCTAGACCCCTTGAACTCTAGGGAAGGAAGCAGATTTGGAATCCTGCCAATGTGTTGCTGTTCAAGCTGATTCCCAGGGGTGCTTCTAAGAAATAAATCATGCATATATCTTTACTGTCTTGCCACACATGTTTATCATGCTTGGAAGGAAACCACAGAAATCAGAACTAATGGGTTGAGATGAATAACTGGAAAGGCACAGCACATTCCTTAGACTCAACATCACGGAGATGTTAGCTGAGTGTGGAGGTTCATGCCTATAATCCCAGCATTTGGGGGCTAAGGTCGGAGGAATGCCGACAGTTCAGAGCTACTCTGAGCTAGAGTGAATACCAGGCGAGCCTGGCTATAGGGTAAGATCCTGTCTCTAAGCACACACACACACATGCACACACATACATATCACTACCACCACAGATACAACAATTGCCATGCCTTTAGTTAAAAGAAATGTAATGCACCCTTTTAAAGCAAAAAAATGCACAGGGAGCAAAGAGCTTAGCTACTTTTAACCACTGTAAAAAGCTCAGTGTTACAAAGAAACAAAGAAATGGATGTAAGGCAGAGAAAAGTGGCAGTTGGGTCCCTTCACAGGGTAGGAAGGAGCTCAGCTGTCTGCAAATCCCTGTTTCAGTAAGAGATTCAATAATCTAAGAGGAGAATTGCCATAAGTATGGCAGTTGGCTTTCAGTGGGTGGGGCAGGGCTCAGGTATTTTGCAGGGAAGGTGTCTGGGTAAGTGGGCAAAGAAAAAGCCTCTAACAATAGCAACAGGCTCAGGCTGTAATACAGGATCTCGTATTTAACGCATAAAGTGCCTTACTTCAAAGGAGGTCCTAGGCAAGACCCGTGTGTTGTCCTTGTCTACAGCTGTAAAGGTTCTTATGGGTGACCAAATTTGTCATTTGTAGAGAGTGTTACTGATAATCAACCAGGACATTTGTCTTCTTTTTCATTTTTATTTTTTTCATCTTTTGGTTTCTCCAGACAGGGTTTCTCTGTGTAGTTTTGTGCCTTTCCTGGAACTCACTCTGTATCCCAGGCGGTCCTCATACTCACAGAGATCCGCCTGCCTCTGCCTCCCCAGTGCTGGGATTAAAGGCGTGTGCTACCACCGCCTGGCTCAACCAGGACATTTGTACTAGAGGCTGACAACCTATGCTCCAGGTAGCACCTAGGCAACAAATGGCTGCAGAGGATTCCTTCCCCCTCTTTTAGGTCCCTCATAGCTAGTATACACAGACAAGTCACATGTAGCTCTCACATGTGTCCTGGACTTGTCATCATGTACCTCTCCTTTCCGGCCTTGCCTAGGACCGCCTTTGAAATAAGACACCTAAGCATTAAAAAGGAAAGCCTGGCTGGGTGGCGGCGGCTCACGCCTTTAATCCCAACACTCAGGAGGTGGATCTCTGTGAGTTCGAGGCCAGCCTGGTCTACAGAGGACAGGTACCAAAACTGCTCAGAGAAACCCTGTCTCGAAAAACTAAATTAAATAGATAGATAGATGATAGATAGATAGATAGATAGATAGATAGATAGATAGATAGATAGATAGATAAGGAAACCCTGTATTGCAATCTCAAGACAACCAGACCAAAGCTGAAAAGTTAAAAGAAACATGACACAGGTCTTTTAAAATAAGAAAAATAACTGCCCTGTAAGGAGGTGGGTACTTACGTACCTCCAAAGCTGCAGGTCTTGGAGGAGTAGTTCCCATACTCCCCCAGCTGGCTTTCTGATGTCTAACTCAGTGTAACTTTCTTTCCCCCTTTTCTTTCAATCTTTCTTCTCTCACCAACTGCTGAGATCCTAAACACGCCTGTCTTGTTATTCTGTGCACTCTTTCTTTACCTGAGATAAAGGCTAAGACTTAAGTCTATGACTGAGATGTAGATAAAGTGTCCATTATTTATTTTGTGGCCAGGCCCATGGAACCTCACTAGACTAGGAGTTCTCCACTGACAAGGTCATCTCCTAATATAACAAGTGCTTGCAAATATTGGACAGAACTATTGAATATATATTCAATATATGAAATATATAACTTGTATTGCCCTGCTAGTCTAAAAAAAAAAATGACCCACTCTAAGAGAACAATGACAAATCTCTATTCTTATACAGACAGCTCCTTCCCCTTTAGACACAAATAGTGTGAAATCAGGTAAGTTCAGATTTTAAATAATTTGCTGCTGAAAGAAATAGGTGCCTGATTTAGCTACGAGCTTTTTGTTGCCTGTTTATCTTGCTCCTCACTCCAGCTTAACAGCCAAAGCCTCATGACATGGGCATGATGAGCCTATGATGTGGGCACAACTCCACTAAAGGGAGAGACATAGCCATGTTACCCTCTGGCAGAACTATGAAGGAAGTGAAATGTGACTGTCAGTGGCTGTGATCAGAAAAACATTTTGTACATATCCTTGGAACCACAAGACTTCTGGGATCACAATTTAGCCATTTCCTAATATTCTATTAAAGATGCTATGAGTCTAGTCTAAGAGTCAACAGAGCCACCTTCGTGACAGAGAGAAGGAGTAATGGACTTAAGCAAATAAGCTGAGAAAACAAGTTAAGCAAGAGTAACTGAGCCCCAGGTCAATAACTCGAAGGAGCTATGAAAGTAATCTAGTTGAAAGATAGATCAAACTTGATAGCAAGCTACTGACCTTACAGTGTATCCTATCCTGTATGAGAAATAGATACCGTACTCCATCTTCTCACATGCTCCCCAAAGAAGACACCTCTGACCTTATCTAAAACAATAGGCCTCCCCTTGCCAACCTCAGATTGTCTGTCTTCTTTTTTGCTGGGAGTTCACAAAGATTAATAAATCAGAACCTGCATTTCCCTAGATCCCTTGCAGTGAATCTCGGCTTTCTTCTCCCACTGCTTTACAGATCATGCATTATTGGGAAGTTCATTTAATCTCTCAGTACTTCATAAGGGATTATCATACTATTTCTTGATGGTGTTGTGATAATCAAATGAATTAATATATGAAAAGTGAGCAGAACAGTGCCTGGCCCACACTAATTAGTATATAAGTCTGAGGTGCTATTGCTTCTCATTAATTTGTTACCACCGAATTCTCTCTCTCTCTCTCTCTCTCTCTCTCTCTCTCTCTCTCACACACACACACACACACACACACACACACGGTTGAACAAGAGTAGGCAAACTTCTCTTCACCACTTCTGATGACAGAAATAAGGAGAAGAAATAAAACCCAAGCATGCAGTTTAGGATTTAAGGTAGTTCCCTGTTCACAGGCATGTCCTCATTCTGTGATAGGAACAGTGCTCAGGTACTGTAGATACCTGCTTTTCCTTTTTCCGTAGGTTGCCTAGTGTGTGGACATGCATGTATATACACACACAAATGCACACTCCTTTCAAATTAACATAGATTTCAGAGTCAGAAGGAAAGAAACCATTAGTCACATACATTATTAATGATTCCACTAATGAAATTAATGGATTTTGATTATTTTGGAGTCTGCCTATAGTTTTACGATAATAGTTTTAAATGTATAGCATAAATTCTGTTGCTTTTGGCTTCCATAATCTTTTATCCACACATCCTTTTATTCTCCTTCTCATCTCAGTGTGTATGGATTGACTTATAGAGAAGCAAGCTTGGAAAGAAAAATGCAGATGGCGGCCCCAGGGGGTCAGAGTCCTGGGTCCAGAATTTTCAAAGAGAAGAAAACTACATTCCAGAAAGACTCTACATCTCTCAACGTGAAGATTTTCTGCTCATTGTCTCACTATAATACATCTGTGCCCTGTAAAAGCCATTTACGATACTGATGCCCCTGAGAAGATGGAAAAGTCTCCTCTGTTTTCCTCAGTGCTAGCCTTGAATACATCTGCTTCATTACACTAATTTATGTCCCCCTGGGTTTATGGACGAGTGGCTAGATGCATGATCTGTAGACTCAAGTAACAGATATACAAGCTTAGAATCTACAACAGACATACATTATAAAGATGAACCAAAATATGCTCAACTGAAAAGTCACCACTAGTGTGGAGCAGGGAGATGAGCAGGACTCTGCTCTACAGAGCCTATGACAATGTGTGTGTGTGTGTGTGTGTGTGTGTGTGTGTGTGTGTGTGTGTGTGTGTGTGTGTGAAAAGGTGCAAGTCAACACTATGGACAGAGGATTTTTCTCTCAGTATAGACATTCTGTTCTTGAACTCACTCTTTGCAGATCGTTGTGGTTTGGGATAATTTCTTAGACAGTACTGCTATAAAATCTACTGATTTAAATAGCGGTTAATGTGCCATGTCATTTTCAGTGAACACACAGCCTTATAAAACCTATCACAAAAAGATAAAGGCTTATTCCTAAATTACTGAAAGAAGTGCATCCTAAGGTAATTTCTATTAAAAATAATGGGCAGCCCATAATGATGTTGCATAACAGAAACCAAAATTTACTTCAGACTAAAACATGTTTGCTATAATTACAATCTAAGATCACAATTTCCCTCATCCCCAAAACAACGATGGGACAAGCATGTATGGACAGACGTGCCATAGGACTATAGAAAGGAGCTTGAACCTCCCCAGTGAGACCTAGATTGAGGAAAGTACACTAATTGATCATTATATGCTCAGGAAACAGGCCTGTGACCACACACCATGCTACAGATCTTCTTTCACCTGATGAAGAGATGATGAAAATGTGTATATGCTCAATGGACTTCTATTTAGCTGTAAAGAAAATTAAAGTCATGAAATGTGCAGGGAGATGGATTGAAATGGAAAATATATATATTATACTTAGCCAGGTAACTCACTCAGAAAGATAAATGTCACATGTTATCTCTTATTCCTCAATCCTAACTCTGAATATTTAGGTGTAAATATATAACCTGGAGTAAATGCAGAAGCCAGGAAAGTAAAAAGAGAAGGTAATGGGGGGGTAGGGCAGAGATCTTGAGAGGGCTTCATAGGACACAGGAGCTTTGAAAAGGAAGCTGTGAAAAATAAGGAGGGGGAGACTTTAACTGGGGAAGGGATAGAGAGGGTAATACGAAGGGAGAAGAAAGAGAAGAGATAAATAACACCATGGTTGTTTGAAAAGGCTACAGGGAAACATTTTATGTTCTTTCTCTCTCTCTCTCTCTCTCTCTCTCTCTCTCTCTCTCTCTCTCTCTCTCTCT